TTCATATTTTGTTCAACAACAAAGATTGTAAGAGGTACCATGAAAAGTTGTAAGTCTCTTTTGTCTCATATTGTGATATGGTGGTTGGTTAAGCTCTATTTGATAAAAGGCACGTTCAAAAGAGTGACTCAACTAAATATAATTATTGTTTAAAAGAGACCGAGTGGTTTTTTGTTTAATAAGATATATCGTTAATGGTGCAACTAAACCACTGTGAGTTATTCTAATAGCAAGAACGTGTTAAAAAAAATAAAAATGACTTTGAAGGTGAAAGTAAATTACTGTCTTGTATAATAACATGTATTTATGTAAAAAGAAAAAATTTTTGATGAGCAAAGAAATTTATGTCAAAGTGTTAGTTGCAACCACATGTGTGTATAAATGTCAATTTTAATAAATTTATGAACATTCTAGTTGCCATGTCCATCTCCATTTTCCATATGGATGGAGGATGAACTCCCAATTTTTCTACTTAATTAAATATATATATATATATATATATATAGATAATAAGTTTAATTTTAAATCAATTTCTTCAAATTTTGTAGCTTTTGTATTAATTTCTGACTTTCAAATACTATATTTAATTTAGTCTCAAGACCTCTGAAAGTCCATATTTTATTTTAATCATTATCCTTAACCACATTTAATAAAAACTCAAATGTCTTTTGAAATTATAGATTAGTTTGTTTAAGGTTTATTTAAAGAAGGCTGGATTATAATACCTTAATCCATTGAGTTATTATTGGGAGTTGGCATTTACCTTTTATAAAAATATGTTATTAAATATTGGGGATTTCCAAAATGTTTTTTTTTTTGAGAAGTCCAAGATGTATTTATTGAAACATTGTATAACTTCGAATTAATTAAGTTTTAATTACTGTGCTCAGGAAAAAAAGGGTGGACTATAGTTTTGGTCATATGACATTCAAGAATGACAGTGTCTTGTTTTACTATACTTTTCAAAATATGTCTCTCATGTATTGTTACTTTTTTAAAAATCATTTTCTAAAAATTCATTTTTTAAGCAATTTGCTTAAAATTCTTTTTTTTTTTTTTAATATAACAAGTGGGGTGAGAATTCGAACTCACAACTTCAACTTTTTAGTCGAAGATACATGTCAATTACCATCAAGTTATACATTTTTTAAAGATTGTTTAATTACACAATAATTTTGATATGTATATATAGGAGGTTGGTTCAAATCATTAAGAACCGGCTATAGTCACAATAATTACTAACTAATCTAGATTTTTATTTATTTTAAATTTTGAACTTACAGTTAGTAAGGGATGGCATTGCATTAACGTAACCACTTGAATTATACTTTTCTTTTACTAATGGCAATTGAATTATATAGTTAAATTAACAATATTAATAAATGGTTTGTTGAATAACAATAATGCTGGCATAATAAATGTAGTATGATGATTTTTCTGCCGTGTGACAAAATTAAGTATAACAATAATTTAAGTCAACTTACAGCTAATATTGAATAAGAGGTAAAATTGACTAGGGAACACGATTCAATGCCCATCATTTAATGAGAAAGGATCAAACCCACATGGCATTCACTTCCTTTTGTTCATCCACATTATTATTAGTATTTTTTTTTAATCAAATGTGCGAGAGAAAAAAAGAAGTTTATATATTTGACCATGTTTTATAATAAAATTGATATCTTCCTACCCAAATTTAATGAATAATTGTCTTAGCTGAGTTTATCCCAATTGGTTAAAGCATATGTTTCTGATTAAAAGATCATGTGTTCGAATCCACTTTTAGATGTTGTACTAAAAAAACATCAGACAACAGAGGTGAGCTAGTGTTTCCATAATTTTTTAATACGTTTTCTCATTTTATCAATATTATATTCAAATTTTCTTTAAAATCTTGACTAACATGTACACAAGCCTATGAAAGGTATACAATACATATAGTACTTCAATTTTTGTTAGGGGTGGGTGGATATAGAAATTCTTCTAGAAGAAATTAGGTTTCATTAATTAAGTAGATAACCAAGATGCTACCAAAGTTCCCATATTGAGCATGAGTAGACAAGTTCATAGATTTAAAAATATATATATATATATATCTTCATCGACATGGGTTTTTTTTTTCATGAGTTTTTTTCCAGAATAAAGTATATAAAGTCATGGTGAATCGGACCTAAAATAAACAATACTATATGTCAAAGTTTTTTTAGAAATGTCGAGCAAGAATTGATAACTGAGTATTTAAATTTAGAAATAAGTCTTTCACGCCCTTTTAAATTAAATTAAAAATTATCAATATCGATAGTGATATTTTATTGATACCTTTTTATATTTTGTGATTTTTTTTCATTGCACTGCGAACGATGATTGGTCTTTCATGTCGATGTTGAACTCATGACATATGAAAATTTGGATGGAGGGCAGGTATATGGACGAAAATTTAATTAGTAAACCCAATTATTTGTTAGATCCATCGAATAAAAAATATATATTTTTAGCGGACGCTCACAACCTTATCATTGTTAGTAAAGTACAAATATAGATAATTTGTATTTTCTTTATATACTTCCTCTCTTACTTTGAAAATTTTCAAATTACGTTTCTAAAATTTGGATTATCTTTTATATATAGTATGTGTATAAACATCATTCTATGACATATTCATAAAATATATATATTTTTTGATTAAATTTACATGATGGGTAGTTAACTAAATATATGTCTATTAAATTACATATACTCTTTTCTTTAAGGTGAGAAGTTCAAATCTCTACATCCACATTTGTTATACTAAAAAAACTAATTAAATAGATTGTGTTAGCATTATATTCTATTACCCGATATTAATAATAGAGACTAAATTAAAACATAACCCAAATGGATCTTAATATATATACTAAATTTATTAACTTAACCAATGCTATTAACCTATTAAATATAGTTTGAGAGGAAAAAGAAAAGCAAAGTAGTTGGGATACTAGTGGGGGAGGAAGTTTATATTTGGAGCCTTTTGAGGTGAGGATCATGTATTGAAATATGCTCAAAATTCAGCCATATCTTTGTGTTATATTTCTTTTCAACCCATATTGGCTTGTAGGTGAGAATATTGATGGCAAATTAAATAATAGTGTGACCAAAAATGAAAACTAACAAAATCGAAAAGAAAATTTTGGAAAAGAGAAGTAAAAGTGACCATAAATTAGTTTCTTCGTTGGAAAAGCATTTTGTGTCCCAATTTATTGCTTTGATCTCAACTTGTTCCTAAAATTTCAATCTTTCGTAAAGGTCCAAAAGTGTGGTTTTTGGCCTCTCCATGTTAACCTTTTATTTAAAAAGAAAAAAGATCGCAATTTGTTTATATTGTAGTCGGTACCCATCTTTATTCTCACCATCAATAAAGAATTAATAGCTTTGAAAATAAAAATAAAAATCACTTTTATGTATTTCTCCTTTTTACTTAATCAAAAATTTAATTTATGATAGGATTCGGAGATTTGGACTTCCAACCTCTAAAAAGGAAAACATAACTTTAAACAATTAATTGTAAGATCGTGTAAACAAACAAAAGTTAAAGTAAATATATAAATCCATTCCTTATGCTTTGAGTATTATACCTATTTAGTTCTTAAGCTCAAAGATATTGAATTATTTCTAAGATTCTAAATATTGACGTCAATTGAGATCTCGATTTTATGAAAATGTTTATAGAACTATCAATAAGATGTTGATGTCGATAGATATTTTTTAAAAAATTATGAAAATAAAAATTCATAAAAAATATTTAGAATAATAATAAGCATTTCATTCTTTTTAAATAAATTAAATTTTATTAATCTTAATATTATATTTATAATATTGATATTTGGTTGATATATTTTATATTTTGTCAAGCTTTTTTGCAATACTATAAAAATAATAATAAATTCACTCTTCACATGGATATCAAACTTGTGTCCATGAAAACGTTGAAATATCCACATATCTATTGAAATTTAATACTCTTATTATATCTTAGAATTTTAAATTGTTCTTCTAAATCTATGTTATCAACCAAAAAAAAAAACGTCATATTAATTTGACAATTTTAATATCAAACGAAATAAATAATTTAAAAAAAAAAAGTTTGTTTGAGGGCGACACGTTTTAAACAACCATATTTTTAAAAGACAATCTACA